CGAACCTTTGGTCGTTTAATTCCAACCAATCTGAAATAAAAAGCTTCCATTCGAGGATTTCTACTATTTCAAAAATTCTGTACTACGCGTTGTTCTTCACTGTATCGATGGCATACATTATTTGGTTCAATCTTCTGTTATGCATCGCTTCAGTTCAGAATATTCCAGGTAAGAAATGTTCATTCTATGCCCAACGAAAGATCCGTGTATAATAATAATTAGGGGAATGAATATTTCTTAGAAAACTTTAACATCCACAACAACCTAGGTTTAGCACTAATTGCTTCAGATACGGGTGCATATAATAGCACATGAGGAAATACTAATGGACAATTACCGGGAACAAGCAGTACAACACTGAGAACGAGCTTTTTGTTTAAAAAAAAAAAAAACACACTGTAAAAAAGTGAGCAACACTCGTAGTATAAGCTAGTTGAAATGCCATTTGACAGGTTTGATCAATGGTTTAATCAATTTCTTTTTTCTTCTTTTTTATGCTGATACCGTCATTTTTCAAGTTATATTCATTAACTGGCATAAAAAATGGTATTTGTAAACACAGATGTTATATTCAGTTTTTCAGTTGGGCAAAAGTATGAATGTCGTCATTGTAATACAACTATGCAGACGGACAAGGAATATTCAAAACATCTTGAGACGCACAAGAAATATAACTGCACTTGGCCCAAATGTAAAAAGGCATACCTTAGAATATGTGATCTTCAAAGGCATTACAAAACACATCAATTTAAATATCAATGTGGTTGTGGCAATTTATTTTCGCGCAGGGATACATTACGAATACATCAGCGGCGATGTGACGGAAGCAGTCGTTAGTTTCGCAACGTTTATGTTTAGCAAAAGAAGTTTTTCGACGTCTTTGTTTAAATGAAAATATGTTGCACAATATTTACTACAGTGAAGTGGCAATTGAAACTAAATACTTACTGTAATATTTTTCTAACCTCAGTAGATAACTGCTTGTCGTTTATGCACTTGGTATTTGGCATATACTGATGTGATGCTGAACAGAGCGCCAGAATTCAAGCAATTAGCATCCCAGCAGTCTAATGAATTTAAATGGTGTTGACAATAATGATAATGACGTCATCACTGGTGCATCAAAAAACTGAAAAATGCCAATAGGGAAACGAATATTCTATTGGATTTTTTTCTACGCTTTCAGCAGTTTTTTAACACAAGGGAAGAATGACAAATGCGTGAAAAAAAAGCACGTCATTCGATTTATCATACCAAACGGTCATTAACCGTTCAACATTTTAGGCACAACGGAAGAAATCCGCAGTTAGGACATACTTTGGTAAACACATGAAACCATCACATTGCTAGTCAAGGTTATTAGGTCAGCAAGATCATCCGGGCAATGAGTATTTCTCAGAATATTTTAACAACCAAGACAGCTTGGATTTAACACTTATTGCCTCAGATACGGTCACATATAACAGTGGTTGGGAAATATTAATGGACAGCTACTGGGAACAAGTAATAAAGAATTATATAATGACAAATCATGTTAATTTCTTCAACATGTGCTTTCACTCAATTGCATGAAGTTGAAAATGTAAGTTACAAGTAATCCCAAATCCCAAGCTGATTTCGTTACTGCGAAAAATTCAGATTTCTCCTCATCCGACATTTTTCCATCAGAAGCAACACTGAGAATGAGCTTTTTGCTTAAAAAAAAAAAAAAAAAAAAAA